TAACACTACTTTATTGTTGTTATAATGCAATTTAGGCTATAAATAGAAATCGAGATTTTAAAATGTAGGAGCATTTTCAAACATAGATTTTCTTTTCCTTAATATAGGTATATTACTAAGAGGACTCTTGGGTGAAACAGACATGATTGGTCCCACAAAGGGAGCCAAGATGGGGAGAGGAGGGAGGAGGGAGAAGAAAACCAGCCCCGGGTGGGCGAAAGCATGTTACGAAATGAGGGTGGAGTTACTGGTGGCAGCTGAGCAAGGCGGGAGAGAGGAGGGGAGGAGAAAGGGATTTGAAGTGAGATTAAATATAACTCGAGTGGTGAAGATGAGAGGAGACGGGGAGCTGGGCCCATTTCTCCAGGTGGGAGGGCAAAGTTGGGGGAGAGATGGGGTCAGCAGCAGCGTGGAGGGGGTGGAGGCCATGGGCAGCCACCTCTCCAGCCACAGGGTGTTTGAGATTTGGGTGTTATTGCTTGAACTGAAAGTGCCTATACTCTTAAGTCAAGAAGTTCTGAAATGTGCTTTACAGGTAGTCACACATGCAGTTTGGGGACATTCATGAAGAATCAATTCATCACGACACAGTACTGATCTAGTGCTCAGATGCACTGAAGTAAGGGCGAGAGATAGTTTCCCATCCCTGGGAGATTCCAGTTTCAAAAAGTAACCCCTGAAGCTAAAAAGGATGTCATTGAAATAGTGGGGGACTTGAATATGGGCTGTCTATTGGATAATAATATTTTATCAATGTCAAGTTTTCCAAATGTGGTAATAATGAAGTTTGGGCTTGGTTATGTAGAAGAATGTCCTGGTTCTCAGGAGACATGGGCTGAACTATTTAGGAGAAGTATTTGGATGTCTGCAGATTCGCAAAGGTTCAACACAAAAATTACATACATGTGTAAATTGTATAATTATTACATTATGTCTTATACTATCTACAATGTATCGAAGTATGAATATATTACATATGCAAAAATTAGGTACGTGTAGAATTAGAGAGAGAGCACACCCACAAATGTGACAAAATGTTAACAACAGGTGATTCTGGGGGTGGTTCACTGGCTCATTTCTCTGCTTTTTCAGTCGAAAAACTTCAAAATTAAAAATTGGGGAGAAAAATAATTTGAGCCCTCAGAGGAGCTAGGAAACCTCCAGTCAGTCACAACTCCCCGTTGGGTGAGCCCAGAATAGCCTGTCTCGCTGTTCCCTCCCCCCTTTCCCTGCCCCAGTGCTCTTCCTCCGGGACAAGGAAAAGAGCCAGCTAACTAGATTAGCGTTTAAAAACAACACACTCCGGGGAGAGAAAAGAACAGAGTGCGGGAGCCTTGGTTCCAGGCCTGGCCCGTGTCCTCAGGGGCTGTGGCTGAGACTGAGTGGATGCCCCTCCAAGGCCCTGCCAGCTCCACCCCCCCCTGATTCTAGGAAACCTCTTAGACTTAGAGCAAAAGATGCAGTTTATTCTATTTTCATTCAGCAGCTCGGTAACAAAGGAAATAGAATGTTCTTTTTTTCTTGACTGTGCCTAGAAAGATCACACAGGAACACGAGAGGGCAGAGGCCCCGTGACTTGCTCCCTCGCACCCAGAGCCTCCCGGAGCACGTGCTGCTCTGCCAGGTTTGCCACTTGGCCTCGTCCCAAACCCATTCTCACCTCTTCCCTCCCTGTGTCAAATGATGACACCAAGAACTGGCCCTCAGGATTCTAGGAGCCTCCCCCATGCCTTCTGCCACTTGTCAGTGCCTGGGGACCCTGCTCACTGAGCTGGCCCTGTGACATCACCTCCATGTCTCGCTCTGCAGTCCAGAGGTTTCTGGGCCTAATGGGGGCTCTCTGCGTGTGGCTTTTTTAAAGCCTATGGTTCAAATACCCACTAACGAATGCCCTGGGTCCAGGGTTGGGGTGGCAGTGCGGGGGTTGCTGCCAGGTTCCAGGGGAGCGGAAGAAAATAAGGCAGTCAGTCATGCTGCCACCCCAATGGACACAGGCTGGGCAAACACTTGGCTTAAAAACATGTTGTTGACATTCAGTCAATGATCATTCATCTTTCCACCCAGTGGGAGCTGACAAAGGGCAGGCTGGAGGGAATGCCCCTTCACAGGGACGTGACTCAGAGGCTATCCTGAATGTGGACTCAAGTCAGACAATGAGCTCTGTCTAGAAATAAGGCGTCTGTGTCCACGGAGCATGGGTCTGTGTCCACCTGGAAAAGCAGTTCGCCCCTCTGCCCAGGGAAAATCATTTATCACAGGTTAGTTTCGTCTGTTTTCCACCTAGAAAGATGACAATTTGCTTTCCTTAGGGTTCCGTTTTGTCCAGCTAAACCCAAACACTGACAAGCACCCTTGATCCAGGATTGGAGTGGTAGTGCCTGGACCCACAGGAGCAGAGTAAGTCAGCATCATTTGCCCCAGGAGTGAAGAAACGGGGCACTTTATCGGACCTTTGACGCCACACCCCAGCCTGCCCTGTGTACAAACCTCAGGCGAGTGTAATCGATTGTAGCTCAGCCAAGTGCAGATCCGTGACTGGGAAGAAAGTCACCCAGCCCAAATCTGCTCTAGCTGGAGGCTGTTTCTGCTACACCACACCCTGGGCATCTTGCAAAGGGGATTCAGGGAGTCGGGACCTTGGGCTTGTTGGTTGGACATGGTTGAGATGCAGAACTTGACTTGTGTACTGTAAGAGTGTGCAAAGCTTCTGCTTAGGGTGGAACCCAGGAGGTCCCAAAGGACCCTGATTTGATGGAGACATCTGGGTAGAGAGTCCTAGCCTTCAGGCATTTTACCCCATCATTTCAACTTGTATTTGCTTAAAGCAGAAAGGTTAGGGTCACAGTCACAGAATGTAGAGGGGACTTGGACATCACAGGATGCAGGGCCCCCTCCTTCCCCTCACTTAGAGCTGAGATCCGTGAGACCCAGAGGAGCTGATCTGTGACCCAGAATAACAAAAGTACAAAGTGCTTTCTTAAAGCAACAGAAAAATGACTGCATTTTCCCTTTGGCCATCCAGGCATCTTTGTTTAAAAAAAAAAAAAAAAAGTCAAGTCATGACTATATCCTGTGGCTTCATTAAGCTTAATTAAAATTAAACTTCTACAGGCAGCCCTGCCTTTGTTCTCTCAAGTTATGCCTTTCAACGAGTATAAAGAAGGAACTGTCACTTACTGGCTTGTTTCTGGAATTACTTGTGTTTCTCTTTGGAAGGGTCATCCACCATGTTTTTGCAAGCCTGCGGTACGAGACAGCCCCCTCCAGCCAAGCACCCCTCTCCACTGTCATCTCACCCATTGGTGAACCTTCCTGACATGCCTCTCCGACTTTCATCAAAATGCTCAACAACTCAAAATCCCCCGAAGGGGAATTTCTGAGTTTTCTGTTGATTTCATCAAAACTTCAATGTATTCCATCCCCACCACCCACCCCTTGTATATGTATTTCTTAAGCAGGGAGACCGAGAGAAATGGGTTTGGTATTATATCTCTGAAATGTCCTAGATGGGTCACCAGAGTGTTGAGGGGACTTTTGATTCACTGTGAAGCAGTCCGGATCTGTTCTTATTCAGGTTCAGTAAAACACAGAAAAACCCATGCCCCAAAAGGCTCGTCTAACTTGCACAAGCCCCATAAAAACCTGCCTTTCACCCATGATGGAAGCAGCCACTGCCACCCCCATCAGGCACCTTTAGGTGTCAGTGGTGACTCCACACAAAGCAAAGTGATGGAACAAAGAGTCAAAGCTGTGTGTTGGCCCCTGGCTGGGTTGGCTCAGCCATTGGAGCCATGAGCTGGGGGTCCATTGCTGTCGAGGGCACGAACCTCCCCTGCGGTTCGTGGGGACCACGGTTGGTCCGCGATCTGGGGGAGGCAGCCAGTCAATGTGTCCCTCTCACATCGATGTTTCTCTCTTTCTTCCTCTCTCTCCCTCTCCCACTCTATCAGAAGATAAACAGAAAAATACCCTGTGAGGATTAAAAACAAAACCAAACAAAAAGTTGTGTCTCCCTGTACTGTTAGAAACCCAGACATCAATACAGCCCATAGTGCCCTCTGTTTCATAAAACACATATCCCAGTGTTGCTTTCTTAGACATTTTCCTATGTAATTGAAGGCAAAACACATTAAATATTTTATCTTGTCTTACTATGGTGAGAGCTAGCAGGCTCATAAATAATTCATTGACCTGGTTCATTTTTTTTTTTTTTCTGGACAAAACTGATCATAAAAATACACTCAAGCCTTTGTTATGTCTGACTCAGAAATTCTACCCTTCTTAGATTCTTTAGAACCCCAACCGAAAAAGAAATTCATTAGGCAAAAGACCCAGTGCAAAAGGAAATGTTGTAGTCCTTCGTGTTCAAAGACCTTCTTCAAGAACAAATCTGAACATACATTTTTCAGGCAACTGACGGCCACACACGTCAGCCGGGCAGAACGGCCGGCTGGAGTTTGTTTCACATAAATTCTGAATGGCCGGTGAGATGTCTGAGCGAGCAGCAGCTCCGCCAGTGAAAACAACCCAAGCGCACAGAGCCTCGTCCCACTTAAGTGTCATTCAGAGATTTCTCTAGATACTTAGGCGGTCGTGTCAACCAGACCTCCCCCTGCAGAAGTAAGTGCCTTTGCAAAGAGCCACCTGCGCGCGAGGGCAGTAAGTCAAGATCAAAAATAAACTATGAGGTGAAAACAAAGCAACTTTCCCCCAAGCGCTTTGCTTAAGACCATCTTTACAGGGTCTTCCTTGGCCACTCAGGGCACCACCAAACCCGTGCGTGCAACAGACAAAGGAAACCTCGGGAGCCCGCTGGGCCACGCCACGGTCACCTCTCCCCGGCCGGGCTCGGGTCCACGCTCGTTCTTCCCGAGGGCGCCGCCGAGCCAGGAGCCCACCGCTCAGGCGCACACCCGCCCCCGCCGGTGCCTGGTGCGCCAGAGAGGGACGAAGTTCTGGAAAGAAGTGTGGATTAGAAGCAAGAAGGAAAGCGGACCCACCTGCCGGAGTCCGAGGGAGGCTGGTCCCAGGGCTGGACGACGCGGGCGACCCTCGCGCCTTCGAGGCCCTGGGGGCGGCCGCTGCCTGTGCCCGAGCTGCGCGCGAGCGGCGGTATTTGTACTCCCGGCCCCTCACATGGTCTGATCTCTAGATATCCGCCGCCAAAGAGCTCTTCAAGAATTTTTGCGTCATTTTGAGCCGCACAAACTTCACGTTTTCCCACGGCCGCGGCACGGCGTTCCTCCGGCGGTGGGGGTGCCTCCGGGCGCGCTCACGGGGGGAGGGGCGGCCAGGGCGGCGGGGCTGGGCCCCCGGCGGCTCAAAGACCCCTCCCCCGACGCGCACACAGACACGCACGCGCTCCCTGGGAAGGGACACGGCCCCGGGCGGTGTGGGGTTGGCGGCAGGACAAGCAGAGTCAAGAATCGCAACTTTCCTGCTCTTGAACCTTGCGGGGGGAGGTAGGCTACTCCGCTGCTGACAGGCATCGTTCCTCCCCTGCCAAATGATCCCCAAATTTTATTTAGGTTTCTACTCCAAGTCACTTCCTCAGGACGGCCTGTCTTGACTACTGACCGCTCCCCATCACCCCCATCCCGAAACCCACCCTATTTTTTTCTTCCTGGGACTCAGCAGCGCCCGGCATCCCTGAGCGCATCCGGCTCTACCGCTGGGGTGTGATCAGCCGAGGGGACCCGTCTCCCTCCCCGCCATCCTCTGCCTCCCCCGGTGCTCAGCACTGCCCAGCCTAGGGGCGCACCCTAAATACGTGCAGAACGAATGCGTAAATGAAGAATTCTCTCCCACTTTGTGAAACAGCCACACTTCAAAGCGGTCACAAAAACAGATATACAGGGTGGAGCGAAAGTAGGTTTACAGTTATTCGTATGGAAAATAATCCAAGAATAAACTCATGTACTTACAACTGTAAACCGACTTTTGCCCTACCCTGCGTGGGTGGTGAGCTGCAGAAACGTATATGCCTGTGGTGTTGGGCAGGTGGATGAGTTACTGTAGTATTTTAAATATCCAAAGAGGTGTACCAGAGCCTATTGTTTTGAACCATTTGATCATATGAACGTTATTTAAAAAAAAAAAAAAACTTTAAGTTTAAAAAGGAATTTAATGTTATATTATCTTTTCAGTTCTTCTTCTTCTTCTTCTTCTTCTTCTTCTTCTTCTTCTTCTTCTTCTTCTTCTTCTTCTTCTTCTTCTTCTTCTTCTTCTAAAACAAAAAACAAAAACAAAACAACAAACGCAGTACTTGATTTGGGATGTCCCTGAAGCTGAGATGAGAGAGCGAGGGCTGCCCCACCAACCTGTCCCCGGAGGAGGGAGGGACTTAGACAGCAGAAGGCAGGAAGGAAATAGCAATGACAGGTTTGCAGTCCCCTCGGACTTGGAGAGTCAGGACCAAACCGCGAAACTTGCACCCAGCTGAGCTGAGCAGGCATCTGGACACAGGCGGTGGGAACCACGCTATCCCCCGGGTGGGCGGTGCCCCAACCTGGGAGGAATCAGTGTGAGGTTTTGGTGCCACCTAGACATCAGGGTGGTGATTGCAAGGAGAGTGGGTGCGCTTCGGAGAGCCCCGGGACTCTTGGTGAGGTAGCTGGCGTTCAGGGCGGCAAACAAAGCCAGGCTGGGACCCTGGGCAAACTGGGGAATTTCTTCTGGCTAAATCCAGGGTGGCAGGGCCCACACCCAGAGGCTCCTCCTTTCAGACGAAGTGTCTGCTGCATCCCAGGTTCCACTTGGCCTTCATAGACTGAGGCTTAAGTGTTGTCTAAACAAGGGGCTACAGCCCGCCAGTGTGGCTCAGTGGCTGAGTGTGGACCCACGCACCAAGAGGTCATCGGTTTGATTCCTGGTCAGGGCATGTGCCCAGGTTGTGGGCCTGATCCCCAGTCACATGCAGGAGGCAGATAATCCATGCTTTCTCTCATTGATATTTCTCTCTCTCTCTCTCTCTCTCTTTCTCTCTCTCTCTCCCTTCCTCTCTCTCTAAAATCAATAAAGAAAAAAAAAATTTTTTTAAAGTAAGGGGTGATTTTGAGGAGGGGGCAAGGCAGACCAAAGGGAGGAGGGCACTGGGAGGGGGACCAAAGGTTTCGGGAGGCAATGAGGTACCTCAGTCCTTGGCTAAAGCTCCTGTCTCCACCCAGTCTGTTCTCCATGCTGGCTCAATGGGACTTTTCACACCATTCCACAGCCTTATGAACTGTTGACCGCCCCATTCCTGGTCTTCTTTCTAGATCCTAGGACTTATTCCTGCCCAGCCACCCTGGGCCCCTTTTGGAGCTGCTTTCTTTGGTGTGGGTGCCTGGAGGGTGGAAGTCCAGCCAATCTGGATTAAATCCCAGCTCTGACCCTGTACTGTCTGTGTGGGTTTGTTCCCACACAAGGTCAATCCCTTCATCTTAGCCTATGTGGCCTTTGGGTCTCCTTTCCATAACATAGGCACAATATGGTGGGCACCATCGGCATGGTTGGAGTAATGGGTTGACGTGCAGTAACACCAGTGGCCTCTTCTCCCTAGGGAGACTCCCAATCCCTTCCTCTCTCTCTGGCCGGGGAGTCCCCCAGGGCCAGTCTTCCCCACTCTTGCTCCCTGGCTAAAAGGCGCTGTCAGCAAAAGACTTAGAATCACAGACTGGACCATCCCTCATTCCTCACTGTCTTCCTTGTGCAGTTCACACAAAACTGTCACAGGAGGTCCATCCTCATTTGTTTTTTTTAAGATAGAGTGGGAAAAGGAGAGAGAACATCAATGTGAGAGAGACACATCCATTGCTTGCCTCCTGCTCAACCCCAACCAGGGCACAACCCCGACCAAATCTGCAACCTAACCCTGACCAGTTTGGCTCAGCAGTTAGAGCGTCGACCAAAGAGTCTCAGGTTGGATTCCAGCCAAGGGCACATACCTCGGTTGCAGTTCGGTCCCTGGCCCTGGTCAGGGTCCTGCAGGAGGCAACCAATCGATGCGTCTCTCTCACATTGATCTCTCTCTCTCTCTCTTTCTCTCCCTTCCTCCCTCCCTCCCTCTCTCCCTCACACTCTATTGAAAAAACATCCTTGGGTGAGGATTAAAAACAAACAAACAAACAAACCTGCAATCTAGGTATGTGCCCTTGACTGGGATTTGAACCCTAACTCTTGGGTCCTGGGGCTCATGCTCTAACCACTAAGCAAAAAACCAACCATGGTGTAAAGAGCACATGTAAATGGTTATAACCCTTCCCCAGCCCTCTCCCTCTCACCACACACAAACACCACCACCAAGAAGACCCGCTCCCTGGGTTTCTCAAGGCCCAGCCACTGTTGCCCTGTGGAGCCAGGCCAGGACAAACCATAGTCCCAGGCTCTCGCTCCGGAAGCCCTGGTACCATCTGTCTGTCCTGCCTCTGCTCTGTGTACACAGTCATGAGGACGAGGCCCACCCCTTCCTGTGGCCTCTTCCGCAGCGTTCCCAGTCCAGAGTGCATGTTCCTGCCCCGTTCCTTCCAGGTACTCCCAGCCGTGTTTTTCCTGGGAGGTGACAGTTTTGGTGACTTCATTCATGTTCATCCATGCATGGAGTATGGCCCCTCCAGGGCAAGATTTGCTGCCACTGTGAGCCTTGGGCTTGTCCCCACAGAGGCCTACGTTGGGGGCCTCCACGTGGCAGGCTGTCTCCGATCCAGATGACACAGCACAAAGGGGATGGGAGGGAGAGGTCTTTAGGAGCCCCAGGAGGGTGACAGGCTCAGGGCAGGGAGAGGAATGGATGTTGGGTCAGGCTCAGCTCTGAGGAACACAGAAAACATTTGGAAGTAGATCAGTTGTGTCTTTGGTCACCTTTTCCTGGTCCCTTTCTTCCCATTCCTGATTATCCTGCTGCCTTTGCTAAACAAGTGCCCCCCCCCCCCCCCCCCCGAGACTTTCTTCCCCTGATTGTAAACACCGGTAGGGAGGGTCGTATTCTGGACAGCATTTGTTTTTACTTCCCGCCTTGGCAGAGAAGTTGAAGCCAGGAGAAGCACCGAGTACCAGGAAGGGCCCCGACAGCCCTGTGTACTCACAGATCTGTTACAGCCCTTTGAGGTCTCCTGAATGTCCGCCTCCTCCACGGGGCTCTGAGTTCCCAAGGGACAGGGCTGTGCCTCTCTCTGTGATTCAACACCTTTCGCTGCGTCAGCACACAGCAGACCCACAAACATGTGTTGGCAATAAATGACGAAGGGAATGCCTGTTACTCTCAACAGACTTAGCACCATAAAAACCAGAGCCCTAGGGACTGGTGAGCAAATCATGGCATATCCAATGATGAAGTGCCACACAGCTGTGGAAAGGGGGGAGGCAGAAAAAAAATGGGCTGATTTGGGGAGGTTTATTATTAATTGAGAAAAAAGAAAAACACAGACCAGGTGTTACTCCTATTTGGGGGGAGAGAGAGAGAGAAGCTGAGTGTGTATTGGAATCTCTCCAAGTGTACAGAAGAAACTAGGAATAGTAAGTGCCTTGGAGGGACAGGGAATAATGGTGGAAGGAGCCTGCTATTTCATTGCATAGCCTTTTCTATACTTAAATATTTGCCATGAATAGGCAATGATTTTATAAAACTTTTTCAGAAAAGCAATATTTTTTAAAAAGTTATAAAAGCAAAAAAAAAAAAAAAGGTGGGGGAGGGAGACCCAGGAAGACATTCTAGGGGCCCCAAGCTTATCCCAAAGCAGGAGGAACCCTGGATCGCTGAGGGGCACAGCTCCCTGGAGGCGGCACAGGCACGTTTCCTTCTCCAATGGGGCTAAATTACTCAGCACCATTGCAAAAAAATGTTTACCCTTATAAGGAGACAGATATTTTCTCTCATTTACTAGCACAGCTGCTCTGAATCAAGAGGTGAAGTCCAGGGCTTTGCTCAGGATCTGATCAAGAGGGACAGATTTTTTTTTTTCTTTTTCTTTATTGATTTTAGAGAGAGAGGACGGGAGAGTGGAGAAACATCAATGAGAGAGAACATCGATTGGCCACCTCCTGCATGCCCCCCACTGAGGATCGGGCACAACCTGGGCATGCGTCCTGACCAGGAATCGAACCAGCGACCTCTTGGTGCATGG